CTCTCTCTCTGCCCCTCCCTTGCTTATACTTTCTCTCTCTCTCTCTCAAAATACATAAATAAATAAATAATAAATAAATAAATAAATACTGAAAAAACAGTATCTAAATTTGAGGCAATTGTCAAAAAAAAATTATGACTCTATCAAATTTAATTTGCTGGTAAAGACTAAACAAAAGGCTATTCTGAAGGTTCTCTTCACCACTCCAACCCATCAACGCAATGTCCTGTTTCTCTTGAACTTGAGGATAAAACTCTCCATCAGTCTCTGAAGCGGGTACCTCAAGAGCCACCAAGTGCACGGCCTGCCCTCCATCCCTAACCTCCCGGTATCTCCAGTGCTGGCATCTCTTGGACATGGGAACACTGGGCCCTTTTCTGGTTGGATAGTTCTACCTTCTAGAGACTTCTGTTTGCTACTGTCGCTACTGCTCTTTCTTCTCCAGCTCCACAATTGTGTCAGTCTCAAACTGCCACTCGCAGCCTTCTCTGAATGCCCGCCCACACTCTGCTACCCCTGGGAGACCCTGGCCATGGACACCACCGCTGATGCCTTTCAATCTGAGGACCTCCACAAGCCGTGTCCCCTGGGTGACTTCAGACTCGCCATTTGCTTTGCAGACCAGTGCCTCCTTGCTCCAGCCACTGGCCCTCAAACGGAGCACTGATCTTTCCCTTCCGGCCACCCCACGCTCCATCACCCAAACCAGGACAACTCCTTTCTCATGGTCTTCTGCTCTGGAACCCAGAGAAGAGAGTCAGAAAAAGTCAAGCTGCTCCCAGTTCGGCAAAAGAACACTTATGCTTTTCTTCGAGAAAAAGTCTCTCTGCCATGTGGAGTGACTCCTGTGGGAGCAGAGGGGAGCCTTGTGGTTGTGATAGAAGAAAAGCAAACCCGGTTGAAAAGCTGAGACGAGCAGAGGCACCTGGGTGGCTCAGTTGGTTAAGGGTCTGACTTCCGCTCAGGTCATGATCTTGGGCCCCGTGATGTTCGAGTCCTGCGTTGGGCTCTGTGCTGTCAGCTCGGAGCCTGGAGCCTGCTTCGGATTCTGTGTCTCCCTCTCTCTCTGCCCCACTTGCTCTCTATCTCTCAAAAGTGAATAAATGTTTAAAAAAATTTTTTAATTAAAAAGAAAAGGCCGGGGCGCCTGGGTGGCGCAGTCGGTTAAACGTCCGACTTCAGCCAGGTCACGATCTCGCAGTCCGTGAGTTCGAGCCCCGCGTCAGGCTCTGGGCTGATGGCTCAGAGCCTGGAGCCTGTTTCCGATTCTGTGTCTCCCTCTCTCTCTGCCCCTCCCCCGTTCATGCTCTGTCTCTCTCTGTCCCAAAAATAAATAAACGTTGGAAAAAAAAAAAAGAAAAGAAAAGAAAAAAAAAAGAGGGAGACAAGTCACAAGAAAAGTTTAAAAAATACAACCACGGGAGTGGTGGTAAGAAACAAACTGAGCTTGTCATTTGTTTCCCTCTGTAACTTCTGTCCAAGAGGGTTACTGATGGTTGAGGAGTTACTTTAGGAAGTGAACTCAGTAGCAAGAGGGACATCCCTGATTTCTCAAAGATTCCATGGGACGTTTGATGGCCTGTGTTCAGTAATGTTTTTCTGTATCCTTTCAGCTGGGACAAAAGTGTCTTCCATAGTGTAAGAGGGAAAGAAAACAGAAAAACAAAAGTACAGATACCTACCATTAGTAATAGCTGCCATTTATTGTTAGCCTAAAACGAATTCCGTTGTAACTAAGCAATTTACATGGCTCACAACATGCCATGAGATAGTATCATCCCATTTTACAAATGAAGAAAGGTACAGAGAGGTTAAACAATTTCCCGAGGGCCACACAGCTAACTATTCAGAAGCAGAACTAGGATTCAAACCAAATCCAGTGCTCTTTTTCCCTATGCTTCTCCAGCCCCCAGAAGGAGGATTCCAGAAAACATGCTTTCTGTTCTTGCTAAAGAATTCTAGGCCTTTAAAACTATGAAGTTATTAGCTGATGCCATAGAAGTCATTGATTTTATGGGTAATATATGCAGAAAGACATTTAGAGGGTTTTCCTAATTTGTTCTCAACATTATGTATTTAATCCTGTAAAATCAATGGATAAAAACTCACTAAATTGTGATGGGGCACCTGGCTCAGTCAGTAGACTGAGGGTTGTGAGTTCAAGCCCCACACTGGGTGTACAGGTTACTTAAAAATAAAAAAATTTTTTAGGTTACTAAATTGTCAAGAAAGCTGGACATTTAGGAACAAACTACCATTTTATTCCCTAACTATAAATGAGGTCCCCATCCACTCCCAGGCCCCACAAACTAAATTACTAAGCTCACGTTTCTGAGGGTATTCAGCCTTTCTCCGGAAGTAAAGGGTACGCTCAACAGTCACTGTAATAATAATTTAAAATTACTCTTTATTCAACTAAGTCCCTTACATGCACTGTCTAATCTAACCCTCCACAGTGCCCCTCAGATCCAGGTATCACGCTTTTCCTGTATAGATGACGAAGCTGAAGGTAAACGAGGTTTTATAACCAGCCTAAGGATACACCACTAGTAAATGGATTCAAACTCATTTCTGTCTAGTTTGAGAACCTCTGTTCTTAACCTTTATGCTTATCCCTCTTGGTCTATCATGATTTGCGTGTTAGTATATTTTCTTCTGCACGAATATCTCCATGTTCAGCACATGATAAATTACTAGAGACTTGTGTTCTTGGGTAGCATGGTTAAAACACCAATCTTGAGGGGCACCTGGCTGGCCCAGTTGGAAAAGCATGTGACTCTTGGTCTCAGGGTCATGAGTTCCAGCCCCACGTTGGGTGTAGAGATTACTAAAAAAAAATGAATAAACTTGAAAAAACAAACAAACGAAGAAAACCCTAAGCTTGACTCCAAAGTCTTTGGGAGGAGGTTAAATATTTTCTTTGCTTTGTAGCAATAGAAAACTAGATTTATTACACTATGTTAATATGATCTCTAAGAGAGATTCTGTGTTCAACTTTTTTTTATCGCATTTCATATATGTTATTTTATTTATTCTCAAAAGCTCTTCAAGATTTTGCATTCTAAGCTTCACACTTATTCCTGGATGTAGCGTCTCCCTCCTAATACCAGAGATTTTTCCAAAGTGGGTAAATGTAGTCATTGGTGGAAATTTCTGGAGACTGATCTGCTCTGACTAGAAGGCAGTGACACCGAGTGGGTAAGACCAGGCTTTGTCATCAGACAATCCTGGGTCTTGCATTCTGTGCTGTGTGACTTTAAGTTACTTACTTAACCTTTCTGAATTGGTTCCCCGCACCCCCCCCCCCGTGTGTACCAATCCAATTTTCTGTCTCTAGATGTTTCCATTGAATATTTTATGAGCAGTTGCTTTCTAACCCTGGTGCTCTTCCCCCCCAACGCACCCAGTCTTCCTCATCTATGAAAACAGCACACTACCCACCCACTTCTTTATTCCAGAAACCTCCCGCCATTGCTGATTTTGTTCTCTCTCTCTCTTTCTCTCAGCCACCCATACATCCAATCTATTTTCAAGACCAAAAAAAATATTACTTATGAGTAGGTCTTGACTCTGTGTATCTCTCTTCTTCAAAAGTGCTCCCCTCGTCCATACTGCCATCACCTTTTCCTGGACACCAAGACACTCTCATAATGAGTGCCCAGTTGTCCTCTCTGCTGCTACAATCAGTTCCCCATCAAGTGGTCAGAGCGATCATTGTAAAAAGAAAACAGGGAGCTGCGGTAGAGCATGCGATGCTTGATCTCAGGGTCCTGAGCTCGAGCCCCACATTGGGCATAGAGATTCCTGAAGGAAGTCAAAACAAGAACATAAAAAATAAAAAGAAAGAGCACTGTGTTACTCCCTTGTTGAAACCATCCAATAACTGCTAACTTAAGAATCGCAAGTTCTGGGGCGCCTGGGTGGCGCAGTCGGTTAAGCGTCCGACTTCAGCCAGGTCACGATCTCGCGGTCCGTGAGTTCGAGCCCCGCGTCAGGCTCTGGGCTGACGGCTCAGAGCCTGGAGCCTGTTTCCGATTCTGTGTCTCCCTCTCTCTCTGCCCCTTCCCCGTTCATGCTCTGTCTCTCTCTGTCCCAAAAATAAATAAACGTTGAAAAAAAATTTTTTTAAAAAGAATCCCAAGTTCTTCTCCATACCCATTCAAATGACTATTATTAAAAACAGAACAGGGGCGCCTCTGTGGCTCAGTCGGTTAAGCACCTGACTCCTGATTTCATGATCTCAACAGTTCGTGAGTTCAAGCCCTGTGTTCTTGGGATCCTCTCTCCCTCTCTCTCTGCCTCTCCTCTGTTCTCTCTCTCAAAATAAACTTTAAGAACAAACAAAAAAATCACAACGCATGCTGGTGGGAACATAAAATGTTACAGCTGCTGTGGAAAACAGAATTGTAATTTCTCGAAAACTTAAAAACAGAAAACCACATGGTCCAGCAATTTCACTTCTGGGGACATACCCAAAAGAATTGAAAGATGAGACTCAAACAGATATTTTTATCCGATTGTACACTCATGACACTGTTTTACCTCATGACACTCTAATGTTATTCAAGGCAGCGTCACTCAAGAAAGCCAAATGTTCAGGGGCACCTGGGTGGCTCCATGGTTAAGCATCCGACTTCGGCTCAGGTCATGATCTCACAGTTCATGGGTTCGAGCCCCGCATCGGGCTCTGTGCTGACAGCTCGGAGCCTGGATCCTGCTTCGGATTCTGTGTCTCCCTCTCTGTCTGCCCCTCCCCCACTGGCACTCTGTCTCTCCCTCTCTCAAAGATAAGTAAACATTAAAAAAAATTTTTTTTTAAAGAAAGCCAAATGTCCGTCGACAGATGGCTGGATGAACAAAATGCATTACATACATACCATGGGATATATTCATCAGCTCTAAAAAGGAAGGACACAGGTCACCACATGGATGAACCTTGGGAACTTAGGCTGAGTGAAATCAGCCAGTCACCAAAGGAAGCCTCCCCTCACACTCCACCCCTAAGTCAACCCCATTCTTCTCTGTGACGTCCTACTCCTTC